GCTATACGAAGTTATTACGCTGCCCAGGCACGGCCTCTGCCCCACGCTCCGCCCCGTGCCTGTCGCGCCCCGCCCCGTGCCTGTCGGGCCCCGCCCAGGCCCCGCCCTCGGCCTCCCAGTCTCTTTACTCCGCGCGCGCGCAGTTTCTCGCAGACCCGGAAGCGGATCGCACGGAGGGACGGTCCCGCTGTGGCGCGTGAGTTGCCCTCTATCTAGATTAAACCTGCGGTTTGCAGTCCTCAGTCCTCCATACCGGGTAGATGGGGATCTCTACAAATCCCGCACCAGCTCTTTTACTCCAAGTAAGTTCAGACCTCGCCGTGTAAGTCCGGGGATTGTTTCCTTTTAGGTTTAAAATGGTCCTGGAGCTGGTTCCTGCCTCCAGCCTTTCTGCCTTAGGACCATAAAGACTCCGCCTTTAAGGTCTTTTCTCTGCTTAACACCCTTTACTGACCTCTCTGTCAGCCTTGCGGCATGTGAAGCCCTCACCCGCTGGGTGGATTCACACCATTTCGGTCCCCTAAGCCTCGCCCTTTTCTGCCCCTGGAGCGCAGTGCCCCTCCCTGCTCCGGGAGGAGCCGCTTCTTCTTCCCAGTCCTGGGATTCTGCAGACTCGCACTCTGCTGAGAAACCACACCCCAGCACCTCGTGTCCTCCTCAGGCCTCCGCTTCACAGTCACCGCTTCCCTGACCCCGTGTTGGGGGAGGTGACCTGGGCCTGTCTTGTGACATTCAGCGTCCTTCCATCCCAAATTCCACCCCACTGAAAAATGCGCTCTTCCGGGAGCCGGCCATCTTACTCCATCCCCCTCCTGAATTCGTGGGTGAGAGGGATCGTGAGAGAGACAGCGAAGGAGAGAAATAGAAAAACTGAGGAAAAAAGAGAAATGGGTGAGAAGCAAAAATAGGTGGCAAAGTGGAGGATGATTTAGGAATTTGCAAAGAGACAGTAGAGTGAAAGAAAACACCCCCAGGAATTAGCAGGGGGACAAAAGCAAAAAGAAGAATTTAGAGAAAAGGGGCATCTGTAGGGAGAAGAAGGGGAGGAAAATTGGGAGTGGGGCCCTTGATCAGCAGCAGGAGAGGAGACAACAAAGGGGGAGGCACTGCAGACAGAGCGAGAGGGAAGATAAAAGAGTTGGAGCCGCAGCAGACAAAGCAAGCTGGTGCTGGGACTGAAAGGGGGGTTAAGTGGTTGACATGCAGAGTAGAGGGAGAACCACAGTAGGGAAGAAGCGTAGGGATCTAAGGGTCCGGGAGAGGGGACAAAGGAGCTGTAACCTGGAAAGAGGGAACATAACAGGGCGAGCATAGGGAGAGCAGAGATGGGCGAAGAAAGGCAGAAATACATGTAGATTTGGGACAATCAAAAGGATTGCGGGGAAAGCAAGAGGTGAAAAAAGTTTCAAGAGTGGGTCAGAACAGGTGTGTGAGAAGGAGTAGAAGGGGAGAAACAGCTGGAGAAGAGAGGGAGAGAAAATGAGCAGAAACGCAGTGTGGGGGGGGGGATACAGAAAAGCAAAACTAGATGTAGATAGAAAGAGAGGGAAACAGTACTGAAGAAAGAGGGAAAGAGACCCGCATCCAGATGAGGTGAGTTGATTGGACATGGATGAAGCTGTCATACATTGGTTTGTGATTTTATAATCTATTTAAAATGTGTTTCTTTCAATTATACACGAGGATGAGAATTGCAAAACTCCTCTCTGTAAGGCTGGTGTGTTTCATATTTATTTGTATCAGAAGATAACTTCATTTACAATCCCTGTTCAGCCAGCAGGTACTGATTGGATTCAGTCAATTGTGGGTCACTCTCTTCCCTGGGAGGGAGTAGGGGCTGGGAAAGAGGAGAGATGGGACAAGAAATGACTGACTGTTACTACAGGGTACATCTTAAAAGGAACATTGATTAAAAATCTTGTTGATTTTTTGCAACGTATTTACTTTTTTCTTTGCAGTCCCTTTACATTTAATTCATTGTTCTTTTTGAAGCTTGAGATAACTTATTTAATTCCTACTTTTTTTCTTTTCAATTTCTACTTTTCTCTAAATAATTACTAACTTACGAAGTAAGGTTTCGTGGCATTCTGTAATCAGCTCCTGTCGTTCATCCCACTCCACCCCCCACAGACACAGAATTTATTTCTAGACGCATTTCAGCCCGCTGAGGTCCCGGCGGGCGGCGGGGCTCACACCCCGGGTTTCTCAGGCAGCTCGCAGCCCTCCGGCTCTGCCATCGTGAACGGCGCGGCCGCGGGGTTTCTCAGGCAGCTCGCAGCCCTCGGCTGGCCCACCGTGAACGGGGCGGCCGCGGGGCTCACACCCCGGGTTTCTCAGGCAGCTCGCAGCCCTCCGGCTCTGCCATCGTGAACGGCGCGGCCGCGGGGTTTCTCAGGCAGCTCGCAGCCCTCGGCTGGCCCATCATGAACGGGGCGGCTGCGGGGCTCACGTGCACGCAGGCGGTGGCGGCAACCCCGTGGTCGTGAGCGCGCGCTCCCAGGGTCAGGCCTCTGCTGCAGCCCTCGGTGAGGCCGTTCAGGGGGTCGTCGACCTTCTCGCCGAGCGGGGCGCTGATGCAAGTCGTGAGGCCAAACATGGCTCCGACGGCGGCTGTGGTAAACCAGGATCGTCCCACCCTCGCCACTCCCTCGAAGATGGAGCCCCAGGGGTCGTGCGCAACACAGTAGGTAGAGCCGGCCGGGCGGCGCCGGTCCTGGGGCAGGTGTAGGCTTCGCCGTGGCCCTCGGGGTCGGCGGACATTCGCAGGACTGTGGAAGGGGCCTGCACTCCATGGCCGCGCGCCCGCGACCTGCTCGGAAGACCCTGCCGGCTGCGCGTGACCAAGGGCAGCCTTCGTTGGCTCTTGCGAGGCTTCCGGGCCCATTTCTGAGTATGACGTTTATTTTTTAAACTTTGACCGCATACTTCATTAGGTTTTTAAAAGCTTTTCAAACCCGGACTGGCCGGTAAGGTCAGTTGGTTGGAGCACCACCTTGTAACACCAAGGTTAGGGGTTCAGATCCCCATGCAAGCCAGCCGCCAGCAGAAAGAAAAGATTTTTCAACTTTTTTATGGTTTTTCCAGCTTTACTGAGGTATACTTGACAAAAGTCGTATATAGTTGCAGCATCAGCCTGATGATTTGATATATGTATACATTGTGAAATGATTACCAGTCGGGTTAAATGACACATCTGTCGCCTCGTATGGGTGTGTGTAGGGTGAGAACATTTAAGATCTACTCTTAGCAAATTTCAAGTACACAGTGCGGTATTATTAACTGTAGTCACCACGCTGTACATTAGATGACTCAGATCTTCACTTTATAAGTGAAAGTTTGTACCCTTTGATTAACTAGTCTCCATTTCCTCCACCCACCAGCCCCGTGCAATCTCCAATTTTCTCTTACTATGAGTTGGACTTTTTTAGATTCCATATGTCTTTCTGTGTCTGCCTTATTTCACTTAACATAATATCCTTGGTTCATCCGTGTTGTCACAAATAGCAGGTTTATCTTCTGTTTTATGGCTAAGTAATGTTCCAACATATACATGTATATACATACAACACATTTTCTTTATACATTCGTGTGTAAATAGGCACTTAGGTCGTTTTCATATCTTGGCTATTGTGAATAGTGCACTTAGGTCATTTCCATATCTTGGCTATTGTGAATAGTGCTGCAGTGATCATGGGGTGCAGATACCACTTCAAGATACTGATTTCATTTCCCTTAGATATATACCCAGAAATGGGATTGCTGAATCCTATGGTCATTTTATTTTTAATATTTTGAAGAATCTCTGTACTGTTTTCCGTTGTACCTGTACTGATTTATACTCCCACTGTGTACTAGGGTTCACTTTTCTCCACATCCTAGCTAACACTTGTTATCTCTTGTCTTTTTAATAATAGGCTTCCTAAGAGGTATGAGGTTATAACTTATGGCGGTTTTGATTTGCATTTCCTTGATTAGTGATCCTGTGCACCTTTTAATATTCTTGTTGGTCATTCATTATATCTTATTTGGAAAATGTCTATTTAGATCCTTAGTGCATTTTAAAATCTGATTTGTGTTCTTTGGCTATTGAGTTGTTTGAGTTTTATGTATTTTGGACATTAATTCCACATCAGATACATGATGTGGTTTGCAGATATATTTTCTCATTCCTTAAGTTGCCTTTTCTTTTAGTTTGTTGTTTCCTTTGCTGTGCAGAAGCTTTTTAGTCTGATGTTGTCCCACTTGTTTACTTTTACTTTTGTTGCCTGGGCTTTTGGAGTCATATCCAAAAAAGTCATTGCCAAGACCAATGTCAAGGAGCCTTTTCTCTATATTTTCTTCTAGGAGTTCTATGGTTTCAGGTCTTATATTTAAGTCTTTAATCCATTTTGAGTTGATTTTTGTATATGGTATGAGTTGAGGGTCCAGTTTCATTCTTTTGAGTGTGAATGTGCAGTTTTTCCAGTATGATTTATTGGTGAGATTACCCTTTCTCCAGTGTATGTTCTTGGTACCCTTGTCAAAGGTTAGTTGTCCATATATGCATGGGTTTATTTCTGGACTGTCTAATCTATTCCATTGATATACATCTCTGTTTTTATGTCAGTACCATGCCATTATGAGTAACTATAGCTTTATAATATAGTTTGAAGTCAGTAAGTGTGATGTCTCCAGCTTTGTTCTTTTTCAAGATTGCTTTGGCTATTTGGTGTCTTTTGTGTTTCTATACAAATTTTAGGATTTTTTAATTTCTATTTCTGTGAAAAATGGCTTTGGAGTTTTGATAGGGAATGCCTTAAATTTGGAGATTGCTTTCGGTAGTATGGACATTTTAACAGTAATTTTAACAATATTGTTTCAGCCTGTGAACATGTACGTATTTCCATTTATTTGTGTGTTTTTCACTTAAAAAAATTTTTGTTTGTTTGTTTTGTTTTTTTTTTTTTTTTTTTTTTTGTCTGGGGGCCGGTTTTTTTTTTTTTTTTTTTTTTTTTTTTTTTTTTTTCTTTTTTTTAGTACCCTCATCTTTATTTGGGAAGGGGAAAACGGAAAACCTGGGTCACCCTTCCCATCCCTGTTTGTTCCAGCTAAGCTAGCTTCCCTTTGCCTCCTCTTTCATAGACTAGGGGGGAGGACTAAGTGGGCATGGGGGTGTCAGGAACTAGCTGAGGAGGTGGGGGTGGGGGGAGACGCCGGGTGCCCGGGGCAGAAGGGATAGCTAGCATCGTGTTGCATGCAGTGCTCGGGTGAGAGGCTGTTGCGTGTGCCCCAAGGGGCCTGGCGAGATGGGGAGGTGCAGGGTGTGTTGGATTTCTTAAGGTTTTGCTACGGTCTGACCTGGTCTCCCATTTGCCCCTGCAGGCCTCAGCTTGCCTCATTTGTGGTATGAGCAGGTGTTTACATATTCAGGCTGCAGGGGAGGAGGAATAGGGAGGCCAGGACTGGGTGGGGGTCAGAGCAAAGCTAGGGGGCGGCACACAAGCAGGAGTAAGACACCAGCAGGCAGCTACTATAAATACTACCAGAGTTTAGCCAATCTCAAGCTGTCTGTACTGTGTCTTGCACTGAACATTCCTTTCTCTCCATGCATCTGTCTCCCCTTTGTCACTTCACCCTCCCCACCCTGTCCACCTGCTAACCCAACTTCTCGCCATCATCCTCCTCATGGGTGTCACTGTCATGGCTGTTCTTGTCTTCCTTGGAGAGGTAGGCCTGGGAGCCCAGCGTCGACAGCGACAGGAGGCCGGTGGCCGTGCAGCGAAGGTGGCTGCAGTCCCATGGGCAGTGGGGTCAGGGCCAGGGCCAGAGACTGGTAGGCTTGTAGCTGCTGTCGGGTGATGGAGTTCAAGCTCAGGAGCAGTGACGTGCTTAGCACTCTCCATGGCTCCCAAGATCTGCTGGTGCTCTTGGGAGAGGTAGGGCAGGACCTGGGCACAAATCACATTCAGCCTCTTGACAATTTTAGCCTGCTTGTGCATCTCGATGTTTAGGCTGTAGGACATCTCATAGTACATCACATAGTGATGCTGCGTCTCCGACTTCTTGCTGGCCAGCTTGTCACATTCGAGCTTCAGGCTGTGATACTGAGCCTGCAGCAGTTGAAATTCATCTTTGATGTCTTCACAGGATTATATGAGGTGGTGAATTTCAGTTGCTGGGGTGGGTGCAACGGGTCTGAATGTCTGCTTTGTGGAAACATCATGTCAGTCATGGTTGGGGATGCGGGCCTGGCTTGGGCTGCTTGGGGTGCTGGGCTGCTGCGCCTTTGTCCTGGCGCCGATTGGCAGCTCCTGGCTCGCCGCCTCCCACTCCTGGCCGGCCTCACCCGCTAGCTCACCTTTTCTCATGAAAAATTTTTCAGTAAACAGTTATTTCACTTCATGGGTTAAATCTATTCCTAACTATTCCTTTTTTTTTTTTTTTTTTTTTTAAAAA